GATACCAAGAACAAGGCCATTTAAAACCAGCTGGTTAAAATTTGGTAACCGGGGAATTGGTAACCGGTTAGCTCGGTGTATACACAGGCCCGGCTCACAATATAAACAAATGAAACCATGAATTAGGGCCTTCAAATTTATAGGGCCCGTTTTTAGTTCAAAAATTATTTTTTGTAGCTTTTTATGAGGTTGTTGTATAAAACTTATATAGTTTTACTTCCTTCTTCTAGTAACTCAAGAATGAGATTTGAATCGGATGATTAATCAAGTGGAGTGAATGTTTTTTGAGTTCAAATCTTGCAAATATGAATCTTGAATTTTTAGGAGATTGTATAGAGAATTTGAACTTAAATAGTATACTTTCTTCTTCTAGTAATTAATGAGATTCGAATCGGATTTCCGATTTTGCAAAGGAGTTATTATCTTGTAGAACTAGAATACTAAATAGATAGAGTGAAATTGATGAACTGATGAAACAGAGTGAAGTTCACATGGAATTGGCATTTAGTATTTGATTATCTCAACCAACCAGAAACAGAAAATTTAACACATTTAGTATAGAGGTCCAAAATGAATGAAGTGAAAACTTTGCAAAGGACAGCACACAGAAAACTCTATTGAAGTTGAGTTTGATCACACACATTCACACAACACTTAAATGCATTTGTAGCTCCCTCAGAGATTTTCGGTTTATTGTCATAAAACAGCATTCTCTCTTCCCAATAGTGGATTTGGACTAACAAGTTAGTTGAATGAAATAGATAGACTTCAATGGAGAGATGGGTAGGTCTCTGATCACACGCAGAGGTCAAAAACTCCATTTACTACTCTCTGATAACATTGTCATAACATCTTTTGACAAAACCGTGAACTTCTAAATACGTATCACATTAACCAGAACATGGCAATGTTTTTGTGTTCTTTGTGATCAATTACACAACCTCGTTTCTGATCTTGAGTCCCACCTCACTGGCCTCTCGTTCGAACCCGTACAATGTTCATAAAAACCACGTGATAGATGTAAAGAAATTGAATATATATAATCTTTCTTTGGTCCGAGATTTAAGGGGGAAAATTAACAAACAAACAACAAAAACATATCAAATACTAGTTCAGTTGGTAATTGAAAGTGATGGATTGTTCCATTTTTAATGTACTAAAAAAAAATATAATTGTTTTATGCATATACGCTTGGAGGATCCGGAAAGAAAAACAAAATTGAAATTCTCTGTTTTGTTTTAAATTTGAGTTAGGTGACATTTGTCTGCTTTTTTATGTACT